CTGAGGCCACCAAAGCGAAAGCCCTCCGCCACTTGGCTGCGCCTAGAAATCCTGTCCATAAAAATTATGAACAGAACCGAAAGACTGACATTTTCACTGTCCTCTGTAATTATCACATCATATTGTCACAATACTGGCGCTGTTTTTGTATCCTCAGTTGGCTATGGGCGCTTCCCTGTCCCACAGCTTGTTCTACCACATTTTTAGCACATGTGGGGAAAACCACTCCTATAATACAAGAATGAATATTTCAAATAAAATTATAGTCAGATTTTCATCAATTAACTGGGCTTGTTAGATTGTGTCTTTCCACCACCGACTCAAACCTCTCTAAACACACTGGACGTGAATGAAATTAAGGGTTAAAAATGTATTTGAGGGGAAATACTAACTGTGTCCTCCCACCTCGGAGGTTCAGATCTCAAATGAACTTGCGAAGTATGAACTAGCAAGAAAAGCCCCCATACCTCAGTAGGAATGCTAGCTGGCTAGCTTGCCTAATTACTTCATTATGATGCTAAATTCTTTATAGTGTCAGATAATTTTATCTATCAATAAATCTAGAACAAACAATCATATATAACTAACATTTAATGTCTATAGTAATAGCTATTATCATGAGGGTAGTTAGCCAGTTAGCTGTACGTTAGCCACACAGCGTGTCTCTGATATTGGCAGCATTAAGCTAGAAAAATACTCTTTTGTAAGTTTTTAAAAGGTCATTAGTATGAAATAATTAATTTAGACAGCATCGAGACAATGATGTAATCAATCATCAAGGTCAGCACAATAAAACTGGATCATCCAGCCCAGGTCACACAGACTTTATGCTTCTCAGTGAAATAAAATCTGTGTCTCCTCCTTCATCTCCCCACTTCAGAAACCTGATCACAGGACAGTTATTGGAAAGACAGGCTTTCTCCATTTCCCACCACTGATCACTCTTTTCCCTTTTCTGTCTGCGAGCTCGCTGCTCTCCAACACTGAATTATTAACCGTGTCGATCCATAATCGAGTCAGTGTGTTTCCAGCTGTGATGTCAGGCTGAACCAGAGCTTAGGAAAGTACTGAGTAATTAATGCAGAAGCTCTAAAGACTTTCTGCCAGCAGACCAATTGTGTGCATTCAGCTGAAACATGAAAAGTTTGGCTGGCTGGTTGTCTGCAGACTTAAAGTTACTGGACATTATTGTTTTCCCGAGCAGGGCACCATCTCCAGGTTTGGGATATTGAAATCCTCTCCTCA